TTATAGGAATTTTAAAAATCATAAGCTACACATCACCATCTATAACCACATAAAAAAAATGCATAGAGCCTAATCTTAATATTTCCATATATTATGATTGTGTATGTAATAAAATAATCAAAATAAATTATTATATTTTCTTACATTGAAATAAATTATTGCAACATAATTTATGAATAAGTATCATTATTTGAAGGCCCATTGCACTCAATTAAACCAACAATACGCACAAGTATAATATAATGAGCATAAAATCAATATGTTTCACAAAGTCATGGTTAATTATAATATTGAACGCATAATACCCATATCAATACATCATCAGATCAGTCCATATCAACAAATATTGCAATTATTAGTTAATTATCACTCATAATTAAACATTAATTAATTACTCATTAATTAATAATTAAACAAAAATTAATTATCAATAATAATTGTAATTAACACTTAATATTTTTTTTTATTCATAGTTATATGTAAATCACATATTTTGTTTTGAGAAATATACATGCAAACTATACACAAATGTTATTTATTTATATATCTAACAGCTAAAACTTAATGCTTCCATTTACAACACCTTGATATTAAAAATATATGTCATTTGCATTTCACTTTTTAAAAATGAGGGGTATTTTCATATGCGGTTTCAAATATTTGGGCTATATGTATGTCAATATAAAAGTTCGGGTGCTAGATATATAAATATATAAGATTCTAGTGGTATAGCACAATCTAAGTCTATGCTCCCTCGAACAAAAATATTAGTACGTATGGACACCACACGTATGAAAAATGGTGGATGTGGAGATCGACCATTTCACGTACATATGACTTGAATTTGCGGGGACATGATCTCCCTATCTAGCGTTGTTCGAATATCCGGACATCTGCACGTAATAATTTTTTTTCTCAAATGATTGTTGACAGGAGAAGCTAAATTTGTCGAGTAGAGAATTTATTCGCCAGCCTTATCGTACTCTTGTAATTACTAAGACGCGACATTTTGTCTCCTTGGATTGCTGACTAGAGAAACTAAATTTGATGAAAAACTTAGAAACAGCTATTGAACAAGTAGCAAAAGTAACGCGAGGCAGAATTATGAAATAAGAGATGAGAATTGGGAAATTAACTTAGCCTAATAAATAATTAAATTATATACAACTACTAAATAACTTATATTTGAAATTAAAGAGTTTAATTAAATGATATTTGAGCAATCATTGGTGGCTAATATATCATATATAACTAATAAGATGCTTTTTGAACCAAAATTATATAAACTCTTAAACAATAAAAAAAAAACAATTGTTTATATATATTCAACATATGACTCGTAAATGAATAATGTCAGGACGGAACTCAAGGCAAAAGGATGATTTTGGAGCAAGGAACGATCGATCGGGGGCCTCATCGATGACTAAAGGATTGGATGTTAATGGAGGGACATTAGGATCTGATGATCGGAATAATGCGGCAAAAAGTTTCCTATACAACGACGATCGACTCCTCCAAAGCAGATCAATGAGTTACTTAATCCCGGACCGTGCAATAATGGAGTTAAGGCGTAACGAGCGGTCGACAGACTTCTCATCAACCGAATATATTCACGAGTCGTATTATACTCTTCTAATTACTAAACTACCCCTCCCAAACCTAATAATGAGGGGGTTGACTTGTAATTTTATAATAACTGTGACCTATTTCTATAAATAGGAGGTCATTGTCATGAATAAAGGCTAGACTCTTTTCTTGTTCCCCACTACACCCCATATATCTCTCTCTCTAACCACTTACTAGCTGAATGTTCTATATCTTGGGTGTGTTTCCAAGATATTTGCTGATTCAACATGACTAAGTAAAAATTAATCCTTCTACGATCAAGTAGATCGAAGTTTTAAGGAGGGAACAAAATGTATTTTTAGGGATTTGAGTTTCTTCAATTCCAATACCTCCTCGCCATACAAGGTTTTAAGAAGCTTTTGAAAGTATACTTCACGTAATAAAACAAATAAAAATTCAAATTTTCATGCTTTGACAATGATGAAGATAATCATCATTTATTAGTTTAGCAATCTCAGAGCACATGGGATAACTTTGCGTATCCATTAATTCAGTTGTGTTGCAACTAATTAATAGAATTTTAGATCATCAAATCTTCAGAAGTTTCTTAAAATATTTCAGCATTTCTCTGATAATTCATAATTTGGGACGTTGTTCTTATTATTAAAAGGAAGATAAAGAATGATTAATATTAACTGAAGATAATAAAGTGATCACTGAACTTGATGTTGCTACAAGTAGCTTATAAGAGTGTAAAAATAGTTCCCGAGACTATTTATGGGGCCGTTTTAGCCACAAAGTTTGTAGAAGTGTCAAAATAGTTTCCGATAATCTTAAAATTAAGTTCTAACAAGCAACATCCATTTACCGGAACTATTTTTTTCTCAGATTTAAAAAGCTTGAAGACTATTTTGACACTTCTATAAATTTTCAGATTAAAACTGTCGAATATAAATACTTGGGGACTATTCCAAAAAGAATATTGAGACCTATTTTGGTTGAGGAGAAAAACAAAACCAGCTTTTATATATTTTTAGAATTATGTTTTTCCAATATAAATAGAATCCTTTTATAGATCAACTTATCTTTGCATCTAAGACCCTAAATTATTCTAGCTTGGTGTGTGTGTGTGTGTGTGGTATGTATATATATATATATATATATATA